CCCCCCGGGGGCCGCGTTCCCTAAAAGAGCCACCTCAAATGCCCATTGTCATTCATGTCATTTTGCTTCTCGTCGCTCTTCAGTTGAATCCAAGTTTTCTACTATCCCGCCCTTTATTTTGTACATTCTAAGCGGGTGGTTGAAGGGTGCTACTTGTGGTTGGGTCCCACTCCAGACGGTTAGTAGAAGAACGTATAGGTCTTACTTCTTTACTTCCCCGCTGTTGTTTCTGCCTGTCTTACTTTTTTCCTACACTGAATGACCATTATTGTGTCGATGTGCTTCTTTAAAAAAAATTCAAACAAACGAACAAAAATACGTTCCATAGTGCTACCCACCCCCCACCCCCCCTTTCCCCATTGTTCAACCCCCGCTCCTTTCTCACCCAAAATTCGCGTTCATATAAGTTAAGAGAGTGCTTTGCGAAATACAGAAGAAGGACCTATCATGACCAGCGAGACAACAACGAATGATACATGGTTTTCCTAAAAGAACTAGGTCTACAGTACTTCAGATTCAAAGGTCATATTGCCATACTGCTCTCTTGCCCAACTTCTGACATCGCAAACCACCATTCGACAAGCATTCACACACGACATGTCCAGTCTCCGACGCGATTCGATCACACTCGATCAAACAGACCGACCGCACCGTTCGAGTGAATGTACACCCTGCTTATGACCAGTTCTGTGACGTGGGAGGGGCACATGACGTCACGACATCATCTCTTCATCATCGCCAAGTCCACCTTCGAGATTTCTGGAACATTCCAAACCATCAGCAGAAAACGATTTCTGTGGACCAGATTCCTTGAGCCAGATATTCTGAGATATGCTGTACCTGAACTATATGTATAGATAACCCAGCTTGTGTATGTTTACATACAATATGTATTTATATATGGAGTGTCAAGTGAAAAACAGGATAAGTCCTTTTTTAAATTAGATAACTTTTGTAAAAAGTTTTTGTTGTTGAAAACATCATAGATCTAGTTCTAACCCTTAATTTACAACAGTACCTGTACAACATCCCTATAAAATCAGTCGAGTGAAAAACCAATCAAGTCCTTCATAAACTGTAATTTCATAACAGCAATTTAAAAAAATTAAAAAATGGTAAAATGGTTGTGGTTTTATGGTACAATTAGATCTAATTAAAATAAAGAACAAGCCAAGCCCATCATTAAAAAAAAGTAAAAAATTAGCCAAGTTGTGGAAGTATTAAAGTGACTTAACCTGTTTTTTCATTGACCCCTTAAATAATATGTCTGTGCCCTCTGACCTTTGTTGACCTTTGTTGACCTTGTTGCTTGTCACCAGTTTGGCAGTTTCTCACCGTGCCTGCAGTGTTGTCTACAGCAAAACGTTACTTTTACCCCGATCACACAGCCTAGCGTAGTAGCCAAATGTTACTTTTCCTCTGACCCTACCAGTCATGGTTTTTGTCTACAGCAAAACGTTACTTTTACCCCAGTCACACAACCTAGCTTAGTAGCCAAATGTTACTTTTCCCCCTGATCGAATTTGACCCCGGTCATAAAATAAGTTACCTGTCGGGGAAGCTGATCATAAACTCGCCCTCTGTTGGTATCGATGTGGCTAAATTAGGCAGTTGCCTTAATCAAACATCATCATATTCATTAAACTATCATCAGAATATGTTAAACCAGTTTCAACCATTTCACATCAATGTTTACATTACTGTAGAGTTTTTAATCTAAAAATTGTGTTTACTCCAAAAGTGAAAAAGTGTGATCCTGATCGTTTTTCCATTGTGGCCTTCGATTGAATTCCAACATAAAATGATAACTATATAGATCTATATGGTCATTTACCAGTTTCAATACCCTGCTCCTACCCCCCGGGGCAGTGCCAGTGACTGTAGTGTCTTTAGGCCATTCCCAAAGAGGGGACATTTCTCGTTCAAGCATAGCAGAATTGTAAATGGGCCGACTCATGTCACGCTCATAACTGTGCCTGATCTACAACAGGGAACTGCTGTTTTTTCTTTCCTAATCCTTACTATGGTCATTTTCCTTTTCTTCTTTTGTATGTTTGCCACTCTCTTGTGACCTGCTATTTCCGGGGTGCCTTGATAGTCGAAGCAGACCTTGTGCTGTTGAAGCTAAAGAGGTGAGCAGTCTAAGTCTGATTCCCTGTTTGGACTTCTCTGTTGACATCCACCCCTTGGTGCTCATATGACCTTATGCAGTTGCGAGCGCCGTAAAACCCTCTACTATTTTTAAAAAAATCCACTCCTGCTATTTTTAAACTGTTCGATTACAGACGGAAGGCGAGTTGAGGATCAAACTTTCCGCAGGTAGGGCTGTGACGTAATAAGGGGCGAATTGCGATGCGTCCCAATCCTACCTGTCATGGTTTGTGCGCAGTAAAACGTAACATTCAGGGGATCACGACGTAGTCTGGGGACGGCTAAAAAACAAACAAAAACAAAAACAAAAACAAAAACACAATCTATTTATGTGGCCAGTGTGATCTGTAGTGGACACTTGGGTGTCGTTCTCACCTCACTAGACAAAGTATTAGAGAAAGGTTGTGGCGTGCCTGTGTGTATGTGCAAGTGTGCATGAATAAAGAAAATTATATATGTGTGTGTATATATATATA